CATACATGCACACTATTCTCCATGTATGTATCTATACACACATGCACGCTGTCTTCCCATGTATGTATCTATACATACATGCACACTATTCTCCATGTATGTATCTATACACACATGTACACTATTCTCCATGTATATATCTATACACACATGCAGACTATTCTCCTTGTATGTATCTATACACACATGCACACTATTCTCCATGTATGTATCTATACACACATGCACACTATTCTCCATGTATGTATTTATACACACATGCACACTATTCTCCATGTATGTATCTATACACACATGCACACTATTCTCCATGTATGTATCTACGCACACATGCACACCACCTCCCATGTATGTATCTATACACACATGCACACTATTCTCCATGTATGTATCTATACACACATGCACACCACCTCCCATGTATGTATCTATACACACATGCACACTATTCTCCATGTATGTATCTATACACACATGCACACCACCTCCCATGTATGTATCTATAAATACATTCATAAACAAAATTCAGGTCTATGTCTTGGGGCCCAGATGGAGCCCCAGAGCCCCGCCTCTGTGCTTTATCCTTTTCCGCTCTCTTTTCAGAACAAATGTGTCCCATACTGGCCAGAGGTGGGCACTCAGCGCGTCTATGGGCTCTACTCTGTGACCAACTGTAGAGAGCACGACACAGCAGAATACAAACTTCGCACGTTACAGATCTCCCCACTGGACAATGTGAGTGTCCCCAAGCCTCGCACATCCAGTCTGTGGGGGGGGGTGCGGAGGAACAAGGACGAGGATTTTGTGTGGAAGCAGCAGACATTGCCTCTTTGTCCTTGGCCTAGGGGGACCTGGTTCGGGAGATATGGCACTACCAGTACCTGAGCTGGCCTGACCATGGGGTTCCCAGTGAGCCTGGGGGTGTCCTCAGTTTCCTGGACCAGATCAACCAGCGACAGGAAAGTTTGCCTCACGCAGGACCCATCATTGTACATTGCAGGTGAGCCCCATAACATGGAATTAGTGTAAAGACCCAGCAGCTGGGGGCCGCAGAGCCGGCTGAGAGGTTAGGAGCTCTGAGCCAACCTTCCAGAGGACTTGATTTGATTCCCAGCACCTACAAAGTGACTCCTCATACCCTTCTGTAACTTCAGTCCCAGGGGATTCAACACCATCTTACAGCCTACAAGGGTGCTGTATGCACATGGCGTACAAACATGCCTGCAGGCAAAACAGCCACACGTGTAAAATTAAACTAACAAACAAGGAACAATGCTGAGTCAGCATCTTGGATAGGGGCTCACCGAAAGCCTCCCCTGACCCCAGCTTCTGGGCTCCCTCACGACTCCAGGCCTGTGGAGGGAGGTTTGAAGCAGCCTCAGCTGTCTAGTCCCTGCTGCCAGATACTTTGCAGAGACCTACTCTGCAGCTGGCCTGGTCACCATCCGTTAGCAGGGGAGCCTGGTCGGTTATAGCAGGGTACAGCTTCCATCTGGGGTCAGTGTGGGCCTCCCACCTCCCCTGTTGCCGTTTTTGGCTCTGTGGCTAGGTGAGAGGTGGTTGGCTGAGAGGTTAGTATGTGGAGAGGTGTGAAAATGAAGTGGCCTTGCCTTGGTTGGTGGGAGATAAGAAGTAAGGGGTCTGAGGCCACTTGCTTTTTTTTTTTTTTTTTTTTGGTTTTTCGAGACAGGGTTTCTCTGTGTAGCCCTGGCTGTCCTGGAATTCACTCTGTAGACCAGAAATCCGCCTGCCTCTGCCTCCCAAGTGCTGGGATTAAAGGCGTGCGCCACCACTGCCCAGCATTGAGGCCACTTGCTTATACCAGCTGTGTGACCTTGGGCAAATTATTTAACTTCTCTGAGCTTGTGTTTGTCTCTTCACTAGTCATTGCTGGGTATAGTGGCATAAACCTATATAGTCCCAGCATTTGGGTGGCTGAGACAGGAGGATCATGAGTTCTCAGCAGTACAAGTTAGAATTTGTCTGGAACTCTGCTTTTTTTGTTTGTTTGTTTGTTTGTTTGTTTTTCGAGACAGGATTTCTGTGTAGTCCTTGCTGTCCTGGAACTCACTCTGTAGACCAGGCTAGCCTTGAACTCTCGAACTCAGAAATCCGCCTGTCTCTGCCTCCCAAGTGCTGGGATTAAAGGCATGCACCACCACCGCCCGGCCGGAACTCTACTTTGTAGACCAGGCTGGCCTTGAACTCACAGAGATCCACCTCCTTAGTGCTGGGATTAAAGACCTTATCTTAAAAAAAAAGTTTCTGTGTGCATGTCTCTGTGTGTATGTGTGTCTGTCTCTGTTTGTGTGTCTGTGTGCATGTCTCTGTGTGTATGTGTGACTGTGTGTGTATGTCTCTGTGTATCTGTGTGTCTGTCTCTGTATGTGTGACTGTGTGTATGTCTCTGTGTGTCTGCCTCTGTGTGTGTGACTGTGTGTATGTATGTCTCTGTGTGTCTGTGTGTTTCTTTGTGTGTGACTGTGTGTATGTCTCTGTGTGTGTCTGTCTCTGTGTATCTGTCTCTGTGTGTCTGTGTGTATGTCTCTTTGTGTGTGACTGTGTGTATGTCTCTGTGTGTCTATCTCTGTGTCTCTGTGTCTCTGTGTGTCTGTGTGTCTGTGTGCATGTATCTATGTGCCGTTGATGGCTCCTTGTGTCTGGCAAGGGGAAACAGGAACCAGTTTTGTCTTCTTCCTATTCTGTCCCTGTAATACCAGGCCTGTGGGCACTTCAGATTCCCCCTCCTCCCCACTCCTGACTGACTGGCAGCTGTACTGGAAGTACCCCTCCCATGCTGTCTTGGGGGCTAAACTCTGCCCTCTGCCATCTTGGGGCAGCTCATCCCCAAGAACCTGTCTGTCACCCCTCCCTATTCATGTACTTCTTGAAATCCCCATGGCCTTTATTTAGAAATCACAGGAAGGAAGTGGTATGGGGGTGTTATTTTTGACAATCTGGGTTTGAAATTAGACAGCTCAGCTTATGACACCAGTTGCATGGACTCGGCTGTAGGTGGGTCTGGGGTCCGCACCATCCGTTTGCCCCGAGGGTGGTAGAGGAGGGCAGGGCAAAGAGAGGCATTGCTACTCTGCTTTCTCCACTGTGTGTGTCCTGCGCCAGCCCTTATCGTTCTGCCATGTTGAAGAAGGGAGGATGGGATAAGGGGTTTCTGGGGGGAGGGGAATGGGGAAAGGGGATAACATCTGAAATGTAAATAAATAAAATACCCAAGCAGGGTGGTGGTGGTGCACGCCTTTAATCCCAGCACTTGGGAGGCAGAGGCAGGCGGATCTCTGAGGCCAGCCTGGTCTACAGAGTGAGTTTCAGGACAGCCAGGGCTACACAGAGAAACCCTGTTTTGAAAAAACAAAAACAAAAAACAAAAAAAAAAACCCAATAAAAAAATTGTAAAAAAAGAAAGAAAGAAAGGAAGGAAGGAAGGAAGGAAGGAAGGAAGAAAGATGAAGTTTCACAGAGAGAAAGGTTGAATGTCACCTCTGCTCTTTGTCTTTGTCTATCTGTCTGTCTGTCTCTGTGTGTTGGTGAGGATGGGACCATAGGGTCTTAAGCATGCTAAACACATGCTTTACCAGTGAGCCACACCCTAAGCCAAATTTAACTCTGTCTGTGTGTGTGTGTGTGTTATGTGTGTCTCAGTGGCCTGGAACTTGCTAGGTAGACCAGGCTAGCCTTGAATTCACAGAAATCCACTGCGATTAACAGCATGCACCACCATACCAGGCTTTCTTATTTTTTTTTAGAGGTTTTCTCACTGAACTTGGAGCTTATCACTAGATCAGGAGGTTGGCTGGCCAGGGAGCTGTCTCTACCTCCTGTTACCCGTGGTGTTGTGGTTATATGACCACTCTGCCTGGCTTTTCCCCCCCCATGCTTGCTTGCAGGATAGTCTTTTTTTTTTTTTTTTTTTTTTTTAAGATAGGGTTTCTCTGTGTAGCCTTGGCTGTCCTGGAACTTGCTCTGTAGAATAGAATAAGCTGGCTTGAACTCACAGAGATCCACCTGCCTCTGCTGCCCAAGCACCATCTAAAGAGTTACTCCAAATATAACTCTTGAAGGCAGGAGTGCGGGGAGGGAAGCCCAGGTACCTGAGGAAAGGCAGGGCAGTGGAAGTTGTGAATCTTGTTTCTCCAGGAGATGAGGCTAGCCACCATTTGGGAGGAGCAGGAAGTGGGGGCAGATGCTTGGAAAGAGGGAAAAGGTATCTGTACCTCAAACAGGCCCCAGCTTGTATATCCTGTGACTGGGGCAGAAGCACGGATACAGAGCTCGGCATATCTCTCCTTCACTGGCCTAGTGACCTATATACATCACTAACCCTGAGGCTGGAGCCTTATGTGGGGACACATAGAGATACACGCACGCACGCATGCATGCACGCACGCGCCTTGCCTAGTGCTGAGATGGACCCTGATACACACACACACACACACACACACACACACGCACGCACGCACACGCACGCACGCACGCACGCACACACGCACGCGCCTTACCTAGTGCTGAGATGGACCCCGAGACTCACCGCTTCCTGGGGAGGGCGCGGCCTCTGATGGCGGTCCTTGTCTCTGCAGCGCTGGCATCGGCCGCACGGGCACCATCATCGTCATTGATATGCTCATGGAGAGCATCTCCACCAAGGGTGAGGAGTCCTGGGGAGTGCATGTGGGTGTGAGAGAGGGGCAAGCAGTCCTTTGGCCTTTGTCTACCCTCAAGTTTCCCTGCTACCCTTGTCCAGGGCTAGACTGTGACATCGACATCCAGAAGACCATCCAGATGGTACGGGCACAGCGCTCCGGCATGGTGCAGACAGAGGCCCAGTACAAGTTCATCTATGTAGCCATTGCCCAGTTCATTGAAACAACCAAGAAGAAACTGGAGATTATACAAGTGTGTCCACAGTGGGCTGCTGGGTGGCCGGGGAGAGCGGGCATCACCTAGTCCTGCTGGTACCACCATCCTCCCACCGTACCTTTGCCCACAGTCCCAGAAGGGCCAGGAGTCGGAGTATGGGAATATCACCTACCCTCCCGCTGTGAGGAGTGCCCACGCCAAAGCCTCCCGCACCTCCTCCAAGTGAGTGGTCCTGTTTGCCCTCCCAGAATCTATCCCATCCTGCCCAGCCTTAACTGTCCTCTTTGGAGTGGGCTAGTGTGGAGGCTGGAGAAACCCTGGTTCGGGGCCAAGCTTCTTCCTGTTCCCTCTGTTCTTAACTTTTTCCTGAAGTGCCCATTGTGAGCCTGTGTGGGCCTGTGCTATGGCCCTGCTGTGGACGCCTGTGTGAGAGGCAGTCTGTCCCTGGGAGATCTGGATCTCGTGTACAGATAGTGAGCAGGTTCTCTTGTTTCCCTGGCTTCACATACTGGGAGTCTTGGAGGGGCCGCTGGTGCTGGGGTCACCCTGCACAGCCTCCAGATGCCTCCTCTCCCTCCCACCCCCAGACACAAGGAGGAGGTGTACGAAAACCTGCATAGCAAGAGCAAGAAGGAAGAGAAAGTAAAGAAGCAGCGGTCGGCAGAGAAGGAGAAGAACAAAGGTTCTCTCAAGAGGAAGTGAGCCGGGCATTCGTCTGCAGGTGGCCATGGTGCGGCCCCTTCTGTATGGTCTTTCTCTCCCTACTCCCTTCCCCCAACTTCAGTTCAGACGTGCATGGGACGGTCACAGTCTCACCCTACCCTGCCAGGGTGTCCCTGGATCGTGTATCCCCTTCCCAGACCCCAGACAACCTTTGATCCACTTCGTCTCTTTGCTTTGCAGCATCAGCCTTAACCCCTGCAGAGGCCTCCACCGGACAGACCGAGACCTGTGGTCCACACTAGACCCTAGGACCACCCCCATCTTCTTGTAATTTAAGTCACTGTGGTCCTCTGAACCTGTATATAGCTCAGCAAGTCCCCAGGGAGAGCCGGACCCTTCTATTCTTGTAAATAAAGCCCCTGGACCACTGTGTACTGCCTCCATCTCTGTGCCGCATATATCCAGGGACACTGGGCAGGGTGGGCTGGGATGTCATGTGTGACTGCATAAAAGCTCAGCCTTTGGGGGTCCGATGGACCAGGATCTGAATATGGCTTCACACGGCTAGATGCCCACAGACTAGACTGCTCTAGTGTTCTCTTTCATGCTGGGGATGGAACCGAGGGCCTTCTATATGCTAGGCAAGTGCTCCAGCCTACAGAGGGTGATGTGGGGTCACCTGCCTTCCTTGGCTCCGTAGTGAGGATCACTGAGAGAGTGAGTGTTGGTGACAATGCCACTGCTACAGTACACACTGGCAACAGGCCCGGGCACTAGTTAAGAGACTGTAGGATTAACTCCGGGCACTGTGGTTCTTGTTTTATTCTTTTGTGGTACTGGGGACAAAGCTCAGGGCCTCCCACACGCTAGGTAGCAAACAGCTCTCTCTCTCTCTCTCTCTCTCTCTCTCTCTCTCTCTCTCTCTCTTTCTCTCTCTCTCTCTGTGAGCTATAACCCCCGGCTCTCAGTTTGGATATTTCACAGTGGAGAAAAACCAAGACACAGAAATCTGTCTTGATCAAGGTTACAGGACTACTGGCCTTCAGCCCCAGGTCCTCATTCCTTGGCAGATTTAGTAGGGTCCACCCCAGAAGGATTCACCGAGCAACTGGAGGTTGATTGTTAAATCCAATCAGGCAGATTTTTTAGGAGGGTCTGCAGTTCCCAAAACACCAGGAGGGTCCCACTGGGGCTGCTGAGGCTTTCGATTTCCTAAGCACTGAAGACCATTTTATGATTTTTGTCCCCTTTCCTTCCCCTTTGTCTAGACTTGGGTTCTTTATATATATAACTTGAGTCTCCTGATCAGGTGCGTGTGCCAGCCATACCTTTGGAAGAGCTGGCTCCCACCATGGGAAAGCCAAGGGTAGCACACTGACTAGCCTGAATGCCCGCTGTGTTAAGGGTCACAGGGTAGTGCCGGGAGCAGGAGAGGGCCGATAAGCTTATCTAACTAGGACTCAGGACATGTCTGGGAGACCAAGCCAGAATTAGTCCACAAAAAATAATTACAAGGGGAAAGTATAGAGAACAAAGAGGAGGAAGAAAGGGACAGCTTTGGGACTGAGGAACACGATAGCTCCCTGGAGCTATGGCCCTCCAGGGGGTGCGTGGGTGGGGCCATCACCTGTGTGCCTGCAGGGCCCCTCTCCCAGCAACACAGAAGAAGCACACGGAAGAAAGGCAGAACCTAGTCCTCTAACTGCCATGGATTAATTCTTTGAGGGTCAACTGAGAAAAGGGTTCTGCTGCTCAGAGGTGGGTTGCAAGGTCTCTCCAGGTTTAGCCGCGGTTTAGGGCTAGGAGTTGGGAGTAGGGAGGCCTTTGGGCCTCAGTAGGTAGTGCAACCTCAGGGTAAAACCAAAGATCCAGAGGCGTGCTTGGGGATCCACAGGTCTGGTGGGGCTTCCTCCCTTCCCAGTTCTCAAAGGGGTTGCCCAACTGTGGCTGTGCCCCGGACAGGGACCCAGACCAATGTCTGCCTAGCTGACCCCGCACTGACCTCAGAGACGATCCTCTGACTCTGGCTGAGGGATGGATTGGAGAGGCCTCAGAGAAGAGGTTTTCTTTTTTTGTTTTTTTGTTTTTTTGTGTTAAAGCTTGGGGAAGGAGCCGCTGGAATGGGATCCAAAGATGGCCTCTCTCTTTATTCCTTTAGAAACAGGGAAAGACTAGGGAGGAGAGAGAAGAAAGGCGGCCAGAAAGGGCGGGAGGCCTGGCGGGGTGGCCAGGCCTCAAGAGGAGGTGCCCAGGGCTGGTGCTGGGAGGGAAGGAGTTAAGGCGGAGAGGGGGGCAGCCTATGGCAGGAGGACACACCTGTGCGCAGGGCAGAGGCGGGCGGGGCCCAGGTGAGGCGTCTGTGCTGCCCGGCAGGTGAAGGAGGAAGAGCAAGAGTGGAGGCCAAGCTGGCTCTAGGCGGCTGCATCCGGCACGTCGATACCCCTTTCTTTCTTCTGCACCACTCTAGGGGTCAGGAGGGTCTGGTGCCAGGTAAAGGCCACCGATCGAGGGTGTCCTGGGGCTGCGCTAGGAACGGTAGGACGCAGTAAATTGGTGTGTTGGGGGGCAGAGACAGGCCGTGGAATGGTAGGGGACTGGCTCGCAGGACAGTAGAGACTTGGGGGACTGCCGAAAGCTGGTTTTGGCCTCAGTGATGGGCAACTCAGGGTACGCCTGGTGGGGAGCAGCAAGGCTCTCCCGGAAGTGTCCCAAATGACGCGGAGGTGGGGGATGGGAGCAGGAGATCTGCGGCTTCTCCTACGGGGCTTGCGCTTAGCCAGGGCTGATCTTGAAGATGGACTGGTTGGGTAGGGGCCCTCGTCTTACCCAGCAGTGTTTGGGTGCTGGTCGGGAGTCTCTAATACTGCCGGGTAATGATGGAGGCCCCTGTCCCTGTGTCATCGGCGTCCATTGCTGTAGGCCTTTATCTGGCAGCAAACCCTTTCCTCCCACTCATACCCCGAAAGCCCCTTCTTCTGAGTTAAGGGTGTTGCAGAAGTGGCTCTCGGGTTGGCTGCTTGCCCACTGGAAGAACACAATGGCCCCAGCCCCTCCTCCAACCCAGTGTGATTTGTCATCTGGTAAATCCAGAACCTACTAGAAGCCGACCTTGGCCTGGGGATTGTCTACGCACTCAAGAGGCCTCAGTCAAGTCAGCCAGCAGCGGCTTCCAGCTAGCGCTTGATCAGTTTATGTTGGCTGGCTCTGGCTGGCTCTGGGTCCATCTTCCAGTGCAGTGTTGGATGGTTGAAGTACGAAGCTCCTAACACTGTCTGGTAAAGATGGCCCCCGGGTCAGTTCTCTCAGCAGTGACCTTGGAGCCTTGAAGACCACTGAGGCCTCCAGACCAACAGCCTCTGACCTTTAACCTTCTGGATGGGGTGTGTGTGTGTGAATCACTTGGCAAAGAGGAACAATGGGAAAGAGACAAAATGGCTGCCTTCAGAACAGCAGCAAGATTTGGAAACACATTCGGTCCCCAGGCGCTTTCATTGTCTTTCCACCCTGGGAACGAGAGTGTCAACCGGGAACTCGGGATATGATTCCGGTCTGTGGCTGGTCTATCTTAGGCTTCCCAGACCTCAGGAGAGACCTACTTCCTCTCAGGACTCAAGGAACTGAGGCTTTACTGCACCGTCTAGCACAGTTAGGTTCACCTCTTCTCCCATTGCACTGTTTTCTGGTTCAGTGTTTCTTGTCCACCCAGAAGGAAAAAAGATGGCTACGGTTCTAGGGGAACTATGGCTTGATCTTCCCAGTATTTGACAGTGTCTTCAGAAGCGGTAAATCTGTGGAAAACTGGCTCTAGTTCAGTTGGGCTCCAGGGCTGTGGGGGTGGGAAGGCCACCTCCATAGGGAGAAACCTTCAGTGCAAATAGCTCATCATACCTGGTGACTAAGGAACAGCACACCGGGACTTCGGAACACTGAAACCCTTGGGAGGAACACACCATCTCCCAGGGCTACCCAGAAGCTGGTTACCAAGGAAGCGGCTTCCCCTGGGGTCATCACGTTTTTAGTTTGGCTCAGCAAAGCCACAGCTGCTCCAGCTTTTAAAAAGATGTTATTAAGTCTGCGGGTTCATTTGGTAGACCTGGAGGGTGGGGTGAAGGGTGTAGTTGGGCCTCTGAGATCTTCGACTCCCAGCTTAGGTCCTGTTTTGAGGACCTGGCAGCTGTCAGAATGCCATGGGCCAGACTGCTTGTGCCCTCTGCTGGCAGAGACCCAGGGTGCATGTGTGACCAACTGCCTTCGTGCAACCTACCCAACATACTCAGATGCAAAACTTTTGGCTTTAAGTAATAAAAATTTTATTGAGAATTCCTGGCATGGTGATTATCTCCTCCCATTCTGGGAGAGGGACAACACTGTAAGGAACTCACTGAGAAATCACACTGTCCCCTGTCTCCCCCTTCCCAGCCAATACAGGAAGGAGGAAACCCTCTAAAAGAGTTGCTCTTCAGTCTCCCTTAATCCAAGAGGGCAGGTACAGAAGAATCCGTCACATGATGCTTGGGTCAGGGTGGGGGTGGGTGACCCCCTAGCTGGCTCCTCCAAACTGGAGAAGTACACGGACTTCTCTGGTGGTGGGGTTCTCGATGTCCACACTCATTTCTTACCCTTAATGAGACTGTCACTGTAAAACAAAGGAAACATTCATATTATTTGGGACATAAGTGTAAAGTGCAGAACACCCCAAACTGTCCCTTCTTCCTAAGTGAAGACATGAGCATGGGGAGGAAGGGGAGGTGTAGGGGGAGGTCCAGGAAGCAGATGGCCCCCAGGACCCCATAGCAAGGAGGCAGTCACTTACCTTCCCCTGTAGCCAGCACGCCATGTGAGCAGGAAATATGCGGGAAGAGAAGTAACAATTAGTCAGCTGCAGGCCCCAGCTTCTCCCCAGTGAGGACCCCACTATCTCTGCAGTCACAACATGGTCTCACCCCAGCAAGGCAGTCCTCAGGTTCTCAGTGAGACTGCCATCAGTCGGCACTTCTCAGTTAAATATAAGTAAAGTGCCTTTCCCATAAGACATCCTGCTTTGCTTTATAAAGTCAGTCTCAGAAGATGCAAGAAAGGAACTGCCAACCAGCCAGGTACCCACTCTTCTGACTAGTGTTCAGAGAAACTGTCAAGGGCCCTGGTGACTATCCAGCCAGACTCCAGAGTCCAGGGAGCAGATGGAGGTGTCTGCTCTCTGTACAGTGGGATCTCTCACCGAGTAAAGCTTTCATCCTGTAGATTCAGCACAAGGTTGTCAGCTGTGAGATAGATCCGGTTCTGTGACGTGGCAATCTACAGGACAGAGAATGGAATTGTTAGCAGAGGTTTCAGGTCTGTGATTCAGTGGCCACTCCGTGGAAGACACAGCAACACACAGAACAAGCACAGCTCGGCATAACTCTAGCACAAAGCTCCGAGTGCGAGAAGCCTTGGTGTCACAGTTCTGTAACAGCCAAAACACAAAACCAGCAGAGCACTGCAGGTCACGCTGCAGGAGGAAGGGTGCCCAAGGACACTATTAAGTAGAGACTCAAGCCAATTCTAATGGCATTATGTGACTGTGTAGCGAATACTTTCAATCTCAATCCGCAGGCCTTGGATATCGAGGCCTTCCACTCACCGTCTTAGAGATGTTCTGGGCAGCCCGGATCTTTCGGAGCTTGATATAGCCAGGATTCTTGCTCAGTGCTTCTCCAAGGTGAGCAGACAGGGTTAAGGGTTCTTCTGGGCCAGGTTACATCTGTGGCAATCCCCCCCTTCCGCCAACCCCTGGAGTCCTCTGGGCTGTCAGATTCAAGGTTGCGCTCACATGGCTATACTCACATGTTGGCTACCCCCTGTGGGCCTCCCTACAGGTTGCTGCCAGTACTGTGGTGACAGCTAACATAAAGGCAAGGCCAGCAGTGCTATCGATCTGGCCTTACAGTGGGGAGCCAGGGCTCGGGCATCCCCACCAAGATCTCAGATCTCACCAGGTGTCCTCCCCCGCCCCCAAGCCAAGAGTCAGTAGGCCAAGTCGCATTCGCCTTAGTCTCATCACCCGGCCCACGGTGGACAATGAGAAACAGGCTGTCCCAGGGGAGAGGCCAAGCTCTGTGCAACACAAGGATATCATCTTGGCAGCCTCTGCTTCCCCCTCGGCCTGCACAATCTTCTGTCGCTGTTCCTGCTTTGCTTTTTCCACCAAAAACTGGGCCCGCTGGGCTTCCTGCTGGGCTGTGGTGGAAGTGAACTGATGTTATACCTGTGAGGTGGAGGAAGTCCAAGCACGCGCAGGGCCCCTTCTCCCATCTCCAGAAGCCCACTGGCCGATGCCCGCCTCCACAGACTTACCCACTTGCTTGGCTTCTACAGCTGCTGTGTACTCTCGGCTGAAGCTCAGCTCTGTGATAGCGACATCATCCAGGATGAGGCTGAAGTCCTTGGCACGCTCTGTCAGCTCTCTTCGGATCAACAGGGACACCTGGGGGCAAGGGTCGGGAGGGGAAGGGAGGTTCGGTTTGCGGGGATCAGAGAACTGGAAGGAAGGTGGCATGGCTGTAATCATCTGAACATCAGAGCTCCTGAGTATGGGCAGCAAACCCACCACTCAAATCCTCAAACATGCACTAGAAAACTCGGTTCCATTTCTTCATGTGACATCCGAGGCAGCATCAGACAGGTGGCATGACTGCCCCACGCCACACTGAGACCTAATCTTTTCAAGTTCTGCATCTCCTTAGCTTCCTGTCAGCAAGGAAAGACCTTCTGTAGAGATGTAAGACTATACTGCCACTATTCTCTACTACGCTTCCTTCTTAACGTCGACTGGTGTCAGGTTCTATAGTTTTCTCCTTATTTCCCACAGTCCTGGCCACGTAGCCAAGGATAACCTGAAACTTCTGATCCTCTTGTTTCTACCTCTTTAGTGCTGGGATTACAGGCATGTGCCACACCTTGTTTAAATAATGCTTGGGAATAAAATGGGGGCTTGAGCCTGCCAGGCAAGCACTCATCACCTCAACTACAAATCCATCCCACTCCATCCTGAAACACCTTTCCCTAGTACCCAGTAACCCCGACCAAGAAAAGACAGGCTGCCGACACGCGGACAGTGATAAGAGTCAGACCTGAGCCCGCTGGGTTATCAGCTGCGAGGCATTGAACTTGGCCACCACACTCTTGAGCACCTCATTGACAATGGACGGCAGCACTCGCTCCTCATAGTCTAGCCCTAGGCGCTGGTACATGCTGGGGAGCTCCTGGGCATTGGGTCGAGACAGCACACGCAGGGAGATGTTCACCATCTGCAGGTCTGAGGGAGAGGTCAGCAGTGGCCGGTTAAGGTCAAATTCCCCCTTTCCAAGCATTTTCTCCTGAGTGCTTCCCACCATGCCTAGTGTCACTGTACAGCCTAGCACTCCTCTGGGAAGATAGTCATGTCAGCAGGGAACATATAAACATGGGTGAGACAGATCCTCGTTTACTGGGAAATCTTTTCTGCGGGCCTTCCACTAATATGGCTATTTTTTTCTTTTTTGCTGCTCTTCCAAAGCGGATTCCACCAAACAGCACAATCTTGGGTTTGCCCTAGCCATTAGAATCGTGGATTGTTTATTTTCCAAGGCCTATGGCTTAGCAAACAAATAAACCACATACAAAAACAGCACAAAGAAGCACATTTCTGTAGGCTACTTGCCTCGGTGTGTATATGGGAATGAGGCTGAGGCCTGGGGAATCTCAAAGGCAGGGCTTCTATTCTAAGTATGGTCTACAAGGAACAACTAGTGAAGAGTGGGGGCACTTTATCCCGAGCAAGGTGTACTGTAGAGCAAGGTATACTGTGGATGTAATCAACAAGTCATTAGAAAAAAAATAAAGGCAAAAAAAAAAAAAGGCTTGGATCTAAGCAGCAAGGAAGGGCAACTTATTCCGTTTATGCTAGGCAGCAGGTAACATTAAAGCATGCACGAATACCAAGTACTGGCATGTACTGTTCTTAACAGTGAGGCACGGCTCTTTTGCTGAAGTAGAAAGGAAGACCCAAGAAACACCTCTCCAGGCCCATTTTACATTTCTTTCTTTCCCCACGTGCCATGCAGCTCCCAGTTGACCATGTTTACCTTTGGAGCCTGTGGGGGAGGAGATTTTTCGAGGTCTGGCCCGAATGTCATAGATGATGGGGTACTGGAACCAGGGGATCCTGGAGAGGAGAGGTCAGGGACAGGAGTTGGGAAACTGCAGTTTCATTGATTTTGACTAGTTTCCCCTCACCACTCGTCCTTGGGCCTGTTCCTCCTCATGACCACAGAGAACAGCCCTTTGCGCATTGCTGGAGTTTCGGAGCAGCCACTGTCCTTACGAGCAGGAAGGAGTAAGAAGGAATAAAGCAGTACCCAATTCTGTTGTTAAGTCTGCCTACAGCCGTCAAGGGTGAAGGGTCAGGGCCTGTTCGCTCACCCGCCATTACCTGAAGTGAAGGCCTTCGGCCAGGATCGTGTCCTGTTGCACGCCACCAATACGATTAAAGAAGATTGCTCTATGACCACCTTCCACTGTGGAGAGAGGGGTGGGAGTCAGCACAAGCTGCTGGTCAGAGTACTGATCAGCGGAGGTGGGACCGGGATGAGGGCGCAGGGAGGCGCGGACACGTGGGGGAGGCAGGACAGTGGGTCTGGGGACCCGAGGTCCGGCCAGCGGAAGGAGGTTACTCACCCGTGAACACGGACTCACGGACGCCGTAGGCCACCGCCCCGGCCCCCAGCAGCAGCTTCAGCGCCGTGCCCATGCCCCGAGGCCCGGCGGGCAGGCGTCCCGCTAAGTCCTTCAAATTCTGGGCCATGTCTGATCCTCCTGAAGGCGGCGGCACCAGCGGTCAGGAGGGGGTGCCCGCCAGCTTCTACCCCACTCCAGTTTACAGACCTCGCCTTGCACACGAGGATTGGGGGCCTTAGAGCTTTCGGGAGAAAGGGCACCGGAAGTACGCTTCCCTCTGAACCCGCCCCCCTTCGCTTGGTGGACCAGAACCCCGCGCATAGTAATGGCGCATACGGAAGTCCCGCCTCTTTTGGAGGCGTGCCCTCCTCGAGAGGCTTCCGTACAGGAATCGCCATTTTCAAGCGCCCTCTTTCAAAATGGCAGCTAGGAGGAAGTTTGCCGTGAGGACGGACGTGAAGTTCTAACTTAAGGACGACAGCGCAACTTCCGGTCTGCTTACAAGATGGCTGCGACCAGTGGAGGCTTCCAACCTCGTGAGCGGCGTTTTTCAGTCCAGGAACAGGATTGGGACAATGCGCCGCCTAAGAGGCCCCGGCTTGGGGCAGGAAGCAAGTGCGGAGGCCGTAGGCTCATTGTGGTGTTGGAAGGGGCCAGTCTGGAGACAGTCAAGGTAGTTTTGAACAGTGAGTGTGGTGGTAGTCAATTGATGGATCAGAGTCTGTGGGGACCAGGGGCACAGAGTGGCTGGAAAAACGGAGCCGTGAGATTTGCTTTTGAAGGATGATCTAGTTTTGCAGGCTGTTGACATCTTGGGTTGGCAGTGTTTTCATTTGCTTTTGACTCTCATTTCAGCCCTCACCTTGCTTTTAGTTGATTTATTAGGGAATCTGTGATATAAAATGTAAAATGAGGAATGCATTGCCTGTTGAAGTTTCCAAAGGCCAGTGACTTCCCCAGCCTTTTATTTCTAAGGACTTGTTGCCTTATTTTGTTTCGATTGCCATCTCGTTCTGTATTTATTTTTTCTCAGGTATGTCTGAATCAGATTATTTAAAAAGCCTTCGTCTTTGCTTTTTTTTTTTTAAATTCCTTTATTTATTTTACCCTTATTTATGCAAGTCTGCGTGTGGCCGTCAACCACCTCATGTGGGTGCTAGGAACCTAACTTGGTTCCTATACAAGAAGGCTCTGTTAGAATCCCTGAGCCATCTCTCCAGCCTCCTCCTTCTTCCTTTCTTATGGCTTACCTTTCAGAGCTAAACTTGTTCAGTGTGTAGGCCCAGAAGTTCTCTCCCCCACCACACACACACTGACAGGGTGGTTGTTTTCAGTCAGAGTTTTGGAATGTAGTCCAGGTTGGCTTGGAACTCTCCACCTTCAACCTCCTAAGTATTAGGATATTTATAGGTGAATTTCACCATGCCAGACCTGACCTGGATTTAAATTTGGTCCTTAGCCCCTTCCTAGTGACTGTGAGAAAACAAGTTTGCTCTCCCTTTGTAAAGTGGTTGTATGTCTTACTTAACTAAACCACACAGGATCTGCATTGATAGCCCTTTAAAGGTAGTGTGCAGCCGGGCAGTGGTGGCGCACGCCTTTAATCCCAGCACTTGGGAGGCAGAGGCAGGCGGATTTCTGAGTTCGAGGCCAGCCTGGTCTACAGAGTGAATTCTAGGACAGCCAGGGCTACACAGAGAAACCTTGTCTCGGAAAAAAAAAAAACAAGTAAAGGTAGTGTGTTTTCTAATAACCCGAGGTGAGAATCTTTTCCATCACTTTTTCATGTACACTTTATTAAACTAGAAAACTGGTTTTCTCCCCTTCTCCTTTTTTTTTTCCTAGACTTATTTATTTATTTTTTCTGAGTACACTGGAACTGTCTTCAGACACACCAGAAGAGGGCATCGGATCCCCATTACAGATGGTTGGGAGCCACCATGTGGTTGCTGGGAATTGAACTCAGGACCTCTGGGAGAGCAGTCATTGCTCTTAACCGCTGAGCCGCCTCTCCTGTGCCTTCCCCTTCTATTTCTTAGCACTTAATGGGATTTTACATTTTCTGTAGTTACTTCCACCCTAACCACAGGGTTTATAGATTCTTTGCTCAGTGACTGTCTGTCGTCAGTCAGTACCATCGTTATCATTGTTTAAAGGGTTTGTTTTGTTTTTTTTATGTGCATTGATGTTTTGCCTGCATGTATGTTGCTGTAGGATGCCAGATCCCCTAGAACTGGAGTTACAGATGGTTGTGCGCTGCCATGTTGGGGCTGAGAATCGAACCCAAGTCCTCTGGGAGAGCAGCCAGTGCTGTTTACTGTGGAGCACTTAACTGCTGTCTCTCCAGCAC